TTTATAAATCTTTAATTAGTGCTTAAATTATTATATAAGGGCCTTACTTAAGTATATAATAATAATATTAAGTATTATTAATATTCTTTAGAAGAATAAAGTAATTTTTAATATTAAAATATTAAAGAAAAGATATATAAGTTTGTTAAGGTAGAATACTAGTGTTATATTGTCTTTTAATCTCTTTGTAATAAGGAGAATCTAATTAATAGTATATAGAATAAGCAATTACTTTAGTAACTATATAATTATAATTTCTATTACAAAGATTAATTTTTTACTAGTTTTTAAGGCAGAGTATAACAGAAAAAGGACATCTAGTAAGTCTTGAGCTCCTCTTCTCTGTATAAGTCTCCTCCTCTTTTCTCTCTCCTCTCTTATCACATTTTAAGTAAACAGCTCTTAATGCGCCCCCCCAAGATTTTGACCTCTTCTTGACAATTACATAACCTTCGGCGGCTGCAAACATATTCAACGCTTTTAGAGCATCAGAGATTGACTCGTAGGAGCCTGTGGTGAGTGGCGGAGCAAGAGAAAGCGTTATAGTTGACAGGCAGAAGCAGTTGACAGAGGGCGTAAAGACAATTAACAAAGGCAGTTAACAGAGGTATTAGACGCAGGGGTTGCGCAGGGGTTAGGCAGGGTATTAGCCTAGTAAGCAGGAAAAATAGGGTAGAGAGGATTAATTGCCTTGTGTAACCCTACCTAGGAGAGAATTTGACTCTGTATAAATAGCTAGAATAATAGCATAAACGTAAAAATAGTTAGTTACGCATTAATAATACTTGTTGTCTTAGTTATAGTAGTAAAATAGAGGTTGTAGCAGAGGCATTAATTTCTGCAGCAAAAATATCGAGATGCTAATTTTGTAAGCTAAGCCTAATTAGGACTAGAGGGTGTCGCTGAAGTAAAAGAGGATGTCGCTTTAGTTGATCCCTAGATTTGTCCAGCAGTATCACGTGACCCCCGGTGGCCCTGACGCCCTGCCACTGCCCTGCCCCTGCCGCGTGTGGATCTGCCTTGCTGCCCACTACTGCCTGCGCTGCCTGTTGAGATATGTAGCCTCAGGCATTTTGAATGAGTACAAATGACTACTGGTTTGCCAGAACAGATAGAAGAAATAACAGAGTAAGATCAGTTAATTTGCACTGCCGAATGAAGATTAAATTAGCAACGCAAGAACTTAAGTGGGATCCCTGGAATGCCCCTAAGCGCCGCAAATCTGTTCTAGGCAACTCCATACCCGCCACCACCCACGTGGATGCCTAGCGACCTACTGTCTCACGACTTGTACTGCCACTAATCACGCATCCAGCCGCCTGCCCTGTCAGGCACGGCGGACTATCCACCTTTCTGGCGTAAAATGACCCGATTTATTATTAGTGCGCTATGCAGGCGCTGATAAAACCTTAAATCAATTTGAGCCAATAATAGGACATTATTTTAAGCTTAAATAATTATGAGCTAATCCTTTAGGGAAATAACAATAATACAGCCAAAATAAGCATGTATCTATTCTAGATTAATCATATGCTTGCCCCAACAGATCGAATTGTAACAGATTGCTATGCCACACTTGCTGCAAGAATGTATAGTCTATAAATAATAATAAAGTCCTTAAGAATATATAGACTAAAAAGCTTTATAAAGATTTAGAATTTAGTTTTAATTAAACTCTTTATTCTGTCAACCTGCTGTGCAGAGTGCGTAGAAAAGCAAGTTGATTGATAGCTACGGGGGTAGAGAGCGTAGATCTATGTACAATTAGCTGTACCGTACAGCGAAATTAGAAGCGAAATTGCGTCGGAAATTGACCAATTAGAAGCAGCAGAAACGCAGGGATTACGCATATTAAACGCGGCCAATTAGCCCTCTCAGAAGGTCAACAGATTCTCGTGTATATAGTGAATCACGGATTGCATTCATGTCCAGTCCAGTACAGATTTGGGGATCAACTAAAGCGACACCCTCTTTTACTTCAGCGACACCCTCTAGTCCTAATTGGGCTTAGCTTACAAAATCAGCATCTCGATATTTTTGCTGCAGAAATCACTGCCTCTGTCAACTGCCTCTGTCAAAGACTCGGTTCATTTTCACAAACTCGACCCACGTTTCTCAACCTGCTGCTGGGTGGATCAATGCAATGGCCGCGGAACACTTAATATTATCCACAGCAGTACTCCGTACCATTACTTTATTCTTGTACAGCTGGTCTGTCTTGTGCTTGAACGCTCCAGAGCCAACTAGCGGTCGCTGTGGCTTTCTCAAGTGCAAACTTTGGCGGACCATGTTTGCCCCTGATTTTTCCAGAGGTCATCACTGGTATAGCTGGCGAGCGATCGAGGGCTGCAACCCTGTGTACGGAGGACTTTCTGGGTCTTGGTTGTTCACAGTGGCCGATGAGGAAGGCATTCTCCGCCAACATTGGTGGCTTTACCTTGAAGTCGCCAGTCTTTCCCGAGTTTCCGATCGATGACCAGCAGTTAGCGTACCTCGTAAGAGACAAGTACTTGGAGCTTCCAACCATTGGCGACAATGCAATCCGGGACAAGAACAAAGCAGATAGATTTGCGCGCATCGTCACGGTCATACTGATTGGGGGATTTTCTGCCCAGTGCCTTGGGCGGGCCTTCCAGCAGCTAGGTCTGTCGACTCTTGAAGTGACCGTAATTGCAAATATCTTCGGCGCGATCTGTACCTTTTTCTTCTGGAGTCTAAGCCCTTTGACGTTGAGGACCGCTTCATACTGCATACACTCGGTACCGATACCCCGGATCCTGATAGAAGCTGGAGACAAGGCTCGTGAACCCTACTCCCGTACGCCCCTAGACTTTGTTATCGGACCAGACCCAACCTTACGAATTTGCTGGCTTGGACTTCAAAGCATGTTAAAAGCCGAGAGTGATCCTCCTGGCCGTCCCATAAGGTCCATCGGCATCACGTCACCCTGCCGCCGGGGGATTACAAAAGCTGGGACGTCATGTTCTCCGTCCTCTTCTGGCTGAGCTTTTT